CAAAGACAGTTTTCAATAAGTGGTACTGGGAAAACTGAACTGGTAGATGCAAAAAAATGAAACTAAACCACCAAGTTACACCATATACAAGAATAAACTCAAAATGGATAAAAGACTTAAGTGTGAGTCACAAAACCATAAAAATCCTAGAAGAAAACATAGGCAGTAAAATCTCAGATACCTTGTGCAGCAATATTTTTGCTGATACATTTCCTAGGGCAAGGGAAACAAAGGAAAAAATGAACAAACGGGACTTCATCAAATTGAAAAACTTCTGCACAGCTAAAGAAACCATCATCAAAATGAAAAGGGAACCTACTCTATGGGAGAACATACTTGACAATGATACATCTGATAAGGTTTAAGTTCCAAAATATATAAAGAACTTACAGAACTCCATACCAGGAATACGGACAATCCAATTAAAAAATGGGCAAAGGACCTGCATAGACACTTCTCCAAAGAAGATATACAGAGGGCCCACAGACATATAAAAATGCTCAACATCACTAATCATCAGAGAGATGCAAATTAAAACCACAGTGAGATATCACCTCACACCTGTCAGAATGGCTGTCATCAGTAAATCAACAAACAGGAAGTGCTAGTGAGGGTGCGGAGGAAAGGGAACCCTCGTACCTTGTTGGTGGGAATGCGATTTGTGCAGCCACTGTGGAAAACAGTATGGAGTTTCCTTAAAAAATCAAAAAAATGGAACTGCATTTTGACCCAGCAATTCAGCTTCTGGGAATATATCCTAAGAATCCCAAAGCATCAATTCAAAAAAGCACATGCAAAAGAGCCCATGTTTCTAGCAGTGTTTTTTACCATAGCCAAGATCTGGAAACTGCCTAAGTGCCCATCAGTAGACAAATGGATAAAAAAGCTGTGGTACATTTATGCAATGGAATACTACACAGCATTAAAAAAAGGAAGAATTCTTACCTTTTGTGACAGCATGGATGGACCTGGAGACTATTATGCTAAGTGAAATAAGCCAGTCAGTGAAAGACAAAGACGATGTGATCTCACTTATACGTGGAATCTAATGAACAAAATAAACTTCAGAACGAAATAGAAACAAGCATGGACACATGAAACAGACTGACAGCTGTCAGAGGGGAGAGGGAAGGGAGGTACTGGATGAAAGACAGTGAAGAGATTAGCCAAAGTAAACAGATGCGTGACCCATGGACACGGACCACGGGAGGGTGATTGCCTGAGGGAGGGGGGCTGGGTAGGACTGGGCAAAGGGGAAAAAAGGTGGGGAACGACTCTAACAGCTTAAAGAATTACAAAAGATGTGTTGCCTGTGCTTAGGTTCTGTAAAGCAACTTAGCGAGCGTTTTTGACTTTGTGTGACACAGTAGAAAGAACAGGTACGTTGCGTACAAACTCTGGTTTCACCAGAGTTTTTAAGGTACATGATCAGAGGTCAATTAATTCCCTCTATTTGAGCCCCAGTTTCCTCAACTGTAAAATGAAAATAATAATAATAGTAATACCTTGTGGTGACAAATGTTAAATGAGATTTGGAATGCAAATATTAGTAAAGAAATATTTACTGTTAAAATTTCCTCCAGTATCTGTGTGTATGTATGTCACATGCATGAGTGTAATAGTGTGTATGCATACTCTAAAAATCAGCATAAATTGACTTGTAGTTTTTGTTAGATGACATAATTTTATGAGCTGGCTCCTGATTTAAATTTGAAAGAGCAGTTTTGGCGAGTAGGACAATCCAGGCATTGGTACAACACACACACACACACACACACACACACACACACACACACACACTCTTCAGTAAAACCCCTGAGTGTGGTTAGGTCATCAGATTGTGAACTATGTCAGAGACACTGCCTTTTTTTCCTTTTTGCGTGACTAACTGCAAATATATTTCAGAAACTCTTTAATCCTCTTTAGAAAGATGGTGACATGTAGATGTTGTAATGGAATGAATGAGACGGGGAATGAGTCACACACATGGGAATGATCTCAGATACATAGTGTGTCAGAGACACCAACATTGTTATGATACACAAATAACCAACACAACAGCACTTAGGGGGTATCTATAAATGCCAAAAATCTTAAAAGTATCTATGGACTAAAGACCATACGCGAGCACAGCATTTAAAGTACCCCATTGTGAAGAAACATACCTAGAGTGAAGGGACAATATTCAAGAGCCTTAATGACTTAACAATTTAAACATTACAACTAAGAGCTACCTGTCAGTCATGGCTCTCTTCACCCGTAAAGGCCTTTTCGTTTATTGGGAAGGAGAGCATCGCTTATCTCCTTCACTGCAAACAGATCACCTTTCAGTGAAACTCTTGATCTGTGTGATACTGTGGGCATAAATATTTATAGAGAAGTTGCTAATGTCCCTGGAATGAGGAACTTAAAGACAGAGTCAAAAGGAATCGAAACTCCAAGATAAGAAGGAGAAGATTTACCTGGGCATCCTAGCATGCTCTGGTTAAGAGCAAGGGGCGTCTCTGTTCTCCGAGCTGGAGTTAACACGACTTGCTCCCCGCTGGCTAAAATCCTGGGTGGAAGTTCAGCGGGATGTTCATGGACTAGCCTTAAATCAGCTATTGTCACTGAGCAAATAATAGATTCTAGTATTGTAAATACTTTGTTTTGTTTATTCATTGCCGCATGAAAAATGACCCCAAAACTTACTGGCTTAAAACAACAACATATTTTATTTGTTCATAATTCTATGGGTCAGACATTTAGATCGAGAACTCTGAGGCTGGCTTGTCTCTGCTCTATGATGTCTGGTACCTCAGCTGGGTTGGCCCGACTGGCTGTGTCCCCGCTGGAATGGCTTTGTCAGGGGCATGTCCTGGGCTCCGGTGACGGCTGTTGGCTGGTTCCTCAGTTTTCCTTCAGGTGGCCTCTCCACGAGGCTGGCGTAGACTTGCCCATGTCACGGTTGTCTCCGGGTAAACAAACTGACATGGTAGTTGCTTCCTAGAGGGAGCATTCTGAGAGGATGAGCCTCTGTGTATAAGCGTTTGTTAAACCTCTGCTTGTGTCTTACTTGCTGATATTCCATTGGCCAAATCAAGCCTCGTGGCCAAGCCCAGAGTAAATGGGGGAGAGAAAACCGAGAGGCGAGTCCTGCTGGTATGGATTCATTGGGCCCACCAATAATCACTGCATGCTCAGAAGATACTACTATCTGGTATTGATTTTTTTTTTTTTTTTATTGTGAGCGGCTGAATAGGTATAGTGTAACTATGCTACAATATTGCTCATGTACACAAAAGGTACTTTTGGAATTATGTTACCTTTATCACAAAGAAATGGTATGCTGTATTATTTGAAACAATCTAAACTGTTAAAAAAATCTCCTTGCTATATAAAGTCTGTGTTAAATAATTTATTTAAGACCACCTGTAAAGAAAAGAAAACTATCCCACCAAAGAAAATAAATGGTTATTTTCTGGGTCTAGTATTGTAACTTACCTTTCAGCTTGTCATATTCTTTTTGAATATTCTCTGAAAGACTTTGCTAGCGATGCTCACATTTCACCTTGAGAAAACATGTATATTTTTATGCATAATTTCTAGATTTCAAGACAGATAATAATATCTAAAATAGCAGAGTGAATTGGTGTTGAAATAGAGAAAAAATTTATTTTTAGATATGTTTTGAGTCTGTAGTATCTTATTGACATGAAGTTTGCATAGTAAAGTGAAATAGAAAAAGAGAAGTAATGAAGTTTGATATGGATCCACTCTTTTGCCCCCCACCCCCAAAACATCAAAAGTCTCCACAAAGAAAACTCATTGAAGATGTTGGGGTATTGATTATTTTTGAGATTCTTTGTCGAGATAAAGTTATAATTTTACCCCAGAGAATTAATGTATTTCAGTTAAATCTATAACACATTTTGCAACGATGTGAACATCCTTTGTTCCTTTTGTCTAACTTTAGATTCTTTGGGCATTAAGAATCAGAAACATCAATTATTTCTTAAAGGGGAGACTAATCCAGTTTTTATAGAAGCTCAGTTCAGAAAATATAAAAAGCAGTCCTTTCCAAAAGAGCATCAAAACATAGAGGCAACAAATACATGGGGCACTGCCGGCCTGTTAGATGACAGCGGCATGAAGTTACCGCACTTTTAGTTTAACAATAGTTTCCGGAGCCATGAGAGCTGGAGCTAGACCCGGCCACAGCGATCCAGGGAGCGATCCAGTGTGTGAAAATATATGCCTTCATTGCTCTGGGCCTCAGCCTATTTGTAAACTGGGGGAGTTAGACTAGCCTGTGCCTATGGTCCCTTAAATGGTACTATCCTGCAAGTCCATGTGCAACATCCTGATACGTTAGCAGATATGCCGATTCCTCGCTTCCTGTTCTCCAGCATTGCCGCTCTGCACCAGCGTTGGGACAATGGCTCACACATGTACAATCTGAGAAAATGACATCTTCCTCAGAGGACAGAGGCACATAGTCCCTGCGCTTTGTTCCCTATGCCACCTCAGTATACTACTCTAGGTCCCGATGTTTGTAATCAGATATTGGACAAGTCGCTTCCCCTTTTTGGGTCTTAGTATCATCTGTAATAAGAATTTTTTTTTCTCCTGAATTTCCTTTTCTAGCTTTAACTTCTTTAGGCCCTTAAACTTTTAAATTAATTAAATAATATTTTTTATGTGAGATTAAATAATTTTTGGTCATCTCACATTCTTAACGAGGCCGGCTGAGTCGCCCTTTCGCTGTCCCCTCCCCCCCACTCCCGCCTTCCTGCTGACAAACGTCTAGAGGAGCTCATGAGCCACACCTTGTCCCTAAGTTGTATAGCAGCTGGGTGACAATTCTACCAGGTGTCTGGCTGCTGTGGGCAAGTTCAAAGCATTAAGCTCCCTCTGGATCTTTTATGGACAATGCTCTAGGATCCCTTGTTAGGAGGAGACCACGGGGTCTTGTCTTGCCTTAGGATATAAAAAAAGACATGGTACAGCAGGTATGGAGGTTTATTGGCTGCAAAACAGATACACAATGATGGGACTCTGAAGATCGCAGTAGGAAAGTAAAGCTTTAAGTTCATGAACTCATACTCTGATTCAAAAAGGTCAGCGGTACATTAAGATCATTATGGAACCTCTGGTGAGAGTGTTAGAGAAAAAAGGCTGCTGAGTTTGACAGCTCTAAGGACACCTCCTGGGACTCACCCATTTGTGTCTGGGCAAGGACTTTCCATTGCGGAAACCGAGTTTTTACAACAGGCAGAAACTTCTATTAGCCTCATGCACACTTCTGGATCTCATTCACTTGGGAATAAATTATTCTTCCATTGATGCTCTCCTGTGTGATGGCCTTGATCTTTGGAGCTGCAGACGCTGAGGAAGAGAGCAACGAGGAGGTCACGGCCCTGCTCCTCCCACCACCCCAAGGGCGCTGCGCTCAGCTCCCCTGCGCTCCCTGTGCCTCCCACATGACCGCTAGGCAATATGGCTGTCTCTGCTGGATGCGAAGGACCTCTCCAAGGACGTTATTCTCCCCACCCTCCAGGAGATGAGGGCGTCTTGACAGTGCCATGTTTTAGAGGTCAAGACCTGCACCCTAGGCGTGCCTGATACAGAATCTAGTCACCGAGCACAAGCGCTCAGGGGGTCCTTCCTGCTCACGTGGGCCTTGTAGCACTTGCATGACAGACAGACTCTGCGAGTCTAGAGATGCCCCTCTGGGCACCTTGCTTTAAGATCTGGCCAGCGTGCCATATGAGGGGTGGCAAGACGGCAGTCATGTTTATTATGATCACACTATTCAAAGATATGATTTATTTGAATAAGTGCTTTGTTGACACATCAATCAACTGATTCTAAACCAGAGGGAAGAATTGAAACCATTAACAGAGATACAGGGAGAACTTTCATAAAATCAAACTCTTCAACAGTAGACCGGGCCACCTCACCAGGAATGGGTTCCCCCTCCCTGGGCATGGGTAAGGAGAGGCTGAAGGCCACCTGCGGGGTCTTGCGGAGGGGTAGCAGTCAGCCCAGCTGTTCTGTGTGGGCACTTGAACTTTGCTTCTCCGGATCTCTAATGCCTTAGGGCATTTTTACCACAAACTAATCGGGACATGCCCCATGTTCCAGGCTGGTTTCTTGAGATTTTTCTGTGAGATGTTAAAGGTAATCTGAGAACGTTGAGTTCCCAAGTCAAAGATGTTTGGGAACACTGGGTTAAAGCAAGTAGAACTATATCATTGTTTCTTCCCCCTTCTTGTTCCTTTTATTCACTGAGAAGTGCCTTTTCAATACTTTTTTTTTCTTGAACATACTGAAACACAACATGGCTCTTCATAAAGAGGATAAGCCCTGTCTGGTCACAGAACACAACTTTCATAACACACAACTAAAATTTCACGGGACGCTAATGTTCAAAAGAATATAGCTGGGAAATTATGTGAAACTATTTCCTTGTATTTTCCTAGGAGCTTAGTAAACAGATTCCATTATTTGACAAAGATATAATATTAATGATTATTTTTATCTACTGCTTGCAAAGAATTTTCATATATATTTTTGAGGACAATATTCAGAGCTCACTTAGTTCTGCTTTATCTAATCTGTTAATTTAATTAAAATTCCTTGCTATTTGGGAGTAAAAGAAAAACTGAACACAGGACATTTGGGAGAACACTAAAGATTATGAATACTACAGAGTGGATAAATATGCTCATTTATTTTTAAAAAGTAGGTTCAAACAATGAAAGAAAGTTTTTTACCTTCCACATTCAGCTTAGATTCCTCTGTTGTCCTATAAAAGTCATAAAGATTAGTGTTCACTTTAGCATTAGCAATAATCATAAAAACTTCTTACACTGAACTCATTTTCTTTGCCTGCTTGTCAATTCATACCTCTTTAATGAGGATAATTGTCCGAATTAGTCTCAAGGTCATGAGGTCATGGAAGAGCCCTCCTGGACCCCGAAGGCAGAGAGCAGCACCTTCCGCTAATCCCGGGGTCAGCGGAGTCTCGTGAACCACTTCCATCCTCTTAGCCACCTGAGGCTTTGCCTTCATTGGGATCCTTTCCAGGGTCTGCGTCTGAACCCCTGGGCCTCCTGATAACTTTACGTGTTTTTAAAAAACTTACAACCTTTTTTCTTAGGCATACAATGAATGTGTCCTTTTTGTGGATGGCTATTGTTATTTCCCCAGGTAGTCAGAAGTACCATTGAAACTCTAGATACTCCGATCTCTTATGAACCTCTTCCTGCTGTGGGACTAAAATATTCCCCCAACCTTCTTTTTTTTTTTCGGAGCTTGAATTGTGTGCATTCCCCCTGGGAAACACGAGAGCCATACCTTCTTGGTTCTTTCTTTCCAGAGATTTTAATATATTAGTTTCAACTTTTGACCTCAACTCTCAGCGTCCTGGGAGTAAACCCTGACTAATTCACGCTTGCTGCTTAACAAAATAGGACCTGATCTAAGTATCTTCAGGAGACACTCAACATAACCCTTTTAGCTCTATGGTTGCCAGCAGAACCAAAGGGTAGGTGAATGTCCACACGAGAGCTGGATGCCTTTGCATCCCCCTCTGCCAGCCCTGCCTTACCCTTGGCTCTCTCCCTCCAGCAGCTGGCGGTAGGTGGAGATTTCCTTTTCCAGGTGGGTTTTGATGCCCAGAAGGACCTTGTGTTCGCAGTTCTGCCGCTCCAGGTCGTGGTGCAGCTGCATGAGTTCCTCCTCGTAGTGCAAGATGATCTGTTGCATGTCCTGGAGCTGGCAGGAGCACCGAGACCGCGTCTCTGCCAACATGTTTTCTAAAGCAGATTTCTGAAAGAGGAAATGGTGTTTCTAACATTAATTGGCTGACAGCTTCAATCAGTCAATAATGCATGCTTGCCGAGCAGTTAGGATACGCCAGCCACTCTGCGAGGTGTCTCGGTGGCTGCTGACGATGCAAAGATGAGAAACAGCCTGACTCGTAGGTCCGGGACTCAGGTAGTCAGGGGTTGGTCAGAGTCTGGACTTTTGAAGCCCGTTTTCTTGGCATGAAACCTTTGTGGCCGGATTCCCTTGGCAACTCCACTGCAACCCTGTAGCATTTACTGTTTATGCTACTCATTTGGGTTTGGGCGAATGCTGCCTGCCCTGACTTCTTCCTTACCTCCTTAGGCTGACCTTGGTCTCTGGCCGGATCGAGAACTCCTAGCGGGAAACAGAAACTGGGACTGCTGTCTCTTTGTATCTTCAGAGAATGGTCTCGAGTAGGAATGTCAGATAAAATAGAGGGCACCTCTGTTTTAAATTTGAATTTTAGATGCACAACGAGTACTTTTTTAGTACCAGTATGACTTAAATATTGCCTCAATATTGCATGGGACATACTTATACTAAAAGCACTCTGTAATTTATCTGAAATTCAAATTTTACTGGGTGTCCTATATTTTAATTTGGTAAATCTGGCACCCCTCGTTGCAAACGATGCTTTTTGATTGTAACAATGGTAACGCATCGTCGTTACTGAGGAAGTTCTAAAGGCTGCAGAATGAAGTTGCTGGGCCAGGATACAGAGCCCTGAGTTGAAGTCCCTGCTGGGTTTGGGTTTACCACCTGCTTTGCAGGAGCACATAACTTTGACCTTAAAGAGGAACTCGTAACAGTCCTAGGTGCCCTCGCTTTATCATGGCTGCCAACACTCGGGGGCCCTCAGTGCTCCTGGCCATTAAACCAAATGTCCCTGGTCTAGTCACTCTCCTATTCTCCCAGAGGAGAATTCTCCTGTGTCCTCAAACCTTCCTCTTCCCCATCCCTTCTCTCAGCCCACGCCCTTGCTTCTTAGGTCACTGAGGACATGAAAGCAATGAGGAGGAAAGGCCCCCAAACGCTCCCACCGTCAGTCCCACCCACACCCTTGGATCTGAGTCCAGGCTCGCGTTCCCCTCCTGTCATTAGGCACAAGTTACCTTGACAGTGCAGACTTAGGTGTCTGTTCATCATGCTGATCCCTAAAACGCAACAGTAATAAACCATGTGCGCCCGCAACAGAATGAACTTCTCCCCAAGACCAAACGCAGAGGTGCGCTCAGGAATGATATTCATGTATGATTAGAAGACTCAGATATATTTTTCTTAATGAATTTTGAGTGCTTATAACATTGATGCGCAGCTTCCCTGCCCCCAAAAGATCACGTGGGATTACCACTTAGCTGTGTGACCTTGGCCAATCTATTTAACTGTTTGGAGCTTGGTTTCCTCATCTCTAAAGTGGGGACACTAAGACCAACCTGGGAAGGTTAATGTGAGGATTGATGACATTTAATGCAATGAACTCCCTAGTGCACCACCTGATGCCGCGTGGACATTCAACTACTGATACCTCTTATTATCGTCCTCTTCATGGATATTTTGGATGCTAAGTGGGCAGTGAAAGACGTCTCGAGGGAGTTGGGGAGCTGGGCCCAAGGGAGAGGATAGGAAGGCTTTGTGGAGGGGGCGGTGCCTGACTCAGGGTTTACGAGCGCAGACTCACCCTGTTATGCTGGGCCTGCAGGTCGATCTCCAGGGCCTGGAAGGTGCGCTTCAGCTCGTGGATGTTACTTTGGTTGCTCTGCACAGCTGGTGGTCCGGCAGCGTCCTGGGCCATGGCTGCGGACTGGGAGACCAAGCAAAGAGCGGGGCGTGGGCGTTGGGCCACAGGATAGGGAAGCTTTGGGGAGTTTGGGCACCTTCCTTTTACCTGCTCTTTATACCAAGCATCCAATTCTTGATGCTTCTTCTTTATCATAAACTCGTATTCCTGCCTCATATCTTCCAGGATCTTAACCAGATCTTCCCCTGGCGTTTTATCCACTTTCACATTGACCTTGAAGTCATTTGGCACGTGCTGTTCCTCCATCTCCTGTTTAACACCAGAGAAAGAAAGCGAATTGGCTGTGATAATCAGAAGGAAGTATGTTGATCGGCAGCAGTTAAAAGGATGTTTTAAAAATTCAGCCCATGTTGTTGCCACTGTTTCACTGGTTTGGTTTGGCTTCTCAGTTATTAGTTATTGATGACAAAACATATGAACTTTTTCCTGTTATACTTTTAATATAAAATAAAGAATAGGATCAGGCAGGTAATTGAATGGTCCCTATGATTACTGACTTAATCCTTGGTCGAAAATGTTTTAGCAAGGATTATGCTTACACAGCGTATAAAGTACTCCTTAGCAAATGTTCATGGGTGAAGCGATGACACAGTGAAGAAGCTGAACATTTTGGGATATAGGCTAAAGCTCTTGGGAAGCAGCCCAGTAATCCAAAGCCAAAAGGCATAGAGGCCCTTAAAAATCTCATCGGTGCATTAGGATTGTAGGGCTGACAGCCACTGGATATCATGAAAACCAAGAAACCACAGCAAAGGCTTAATTAACAGGCATTTTTGAATCAGGTTTGATATTTATAATCAATTCTGTTTGCCTAAAATAGGGATTGTTTTTCTATCATTTTATCAAAGCCTTAGGGACTTTAGATGTATGATAACTTCTCAAAAGTTGGTTAAATGTTTCTGAAAATTAGAATTCTTAATTTTTGCCACTAGTGATACACAGCTTGGTTAGTAACCGATTCCCTTTATTCTCTTGTCCCTCAATTTGCTGCACAATAGGTCAATGAAGGGAGTTCAGCCTCATACATTTATTCCTACAGTATCATATTAACAAACAAATCTAGGTAAAGACTGCATGGTAAAATCGTTGACGCAGCTGTTGTTAATTGTGATTGTATTCTGGCTGTTGTATTTGACATTTAAGTAGATAACTTTGGAATTGGAAAAATTAGATGTTCATATGGTGTCTTATGATTATTTCGGTTGAAGGACAATAGAACTGGCAGAGAGATGGTAGTTTTTTCGGTAGCTGTTGAATCACCTAAAAGGTGCAAAGGAAGAGCTGTGCTGGAGGTTCCTGGGGAGTCCTACCTGCTCATGGCGCTTCTTCATGAGGATGAGCTCTTTTCTCATCCCCTCGACTTCTTGTTCCAGGTCTGTTGTGACAATGGTCAGGTCATCCAAGGTCTTTCGGAGACCCTCAACTTCAATTTCCAAGTCTTTCTTAAAGGAGCATTCGTTTTCATACCTTTGGTGAGAAGGAAGGAAAGAGTATACTTGTTGTTGGAAGACTGTGATCTTTGTAAGGATTCACCTTTGCTTAGGGGTGACTTTTTAGGTTTAATGGTAACAAATTAATACATGCTATTTATTCTTTGTATGTCTGTTTCATGCACATTTTTCTATGATGGTGACTCAGTGCTATTAAAAAATAATAACCAGCCACGTGTCCATCACCTAAACTTAGCAACCATTAACATTTTGCCATATTTGCTTCATCTATATTCCATTTTCTATTTTAAAGTAAATTGTAGACATGACATTTCACCCTTAAATGCTTCAGAATGCATGTGTTAAGAAAAAGACATTTTTCTAAGTAAGCATAATAATGTTATTGTTAGTTAAAACATTAAAAACAGCTCTTTAAAATCATCTCATTCTTGGTTCGCATTCAAATTTTCTTACAGCAAAAACTGTGTTTTACTCTCTGATTCGTTTAAACTAGGATTCAGTGAAATATTTATTCTTGTTAGGCCTTTTCATTATATTTTGTAGGACTTTCACATGTGGTTAACGGTAAGCTAAGTTTTCCTTCTGCAAAACTAAAACAAAAACGAGAACAACCCAAAAAACAAAACAAAAACAAACTACCTCCCCCCCCCCAGCTCCCTGGCACCGCGAAGCGGAACTCACTTGAGGCTGAAGTCGTCCACCGCCATCCTGGCATTGTCGATGAGAAGGACGATCCGCGCGTTGCTCAGCTTGCCGTCCACCACCTGTGAAACATGTGCCCAGAGTCACTTCAGCGGAACGCGCTCCACGGGGAGGTGCATTCCTGCCCTCTCGTCTCCCGGGCGCATGGTTTGTTAGCACAGATGACTTGTTTTTCTGGCAGTGGAACGATCAAGTCAATAAATATTTATTGAACTCTTACTAGGTACAAAGCATGCGACTGAGGTCATAGTAAGGATAGATCTGAGATGTCTTTTTTTTCCACATGGAGCTTCGACAGGCTAGGACTGATGCAAATGCTGAAAGGGTGGTGCGGGAAGGGGAAGGGGAGCCATTGTGCAAAATGCCTTTTAACTGTCAATACCATAAATATATTTTACTGTTTTGCTTAAGCTTGTCTGCATTGAAGATGGTAAAAGTGGTTTAGGTTCTGGTGCTTTTCTTATGGTGCCTATGAGTTTGGCTCCTCTAAAGTGAAATAATTATTTTAGATAAACGTAATTCTTCATTGTGATAGCATTCGTGTTTCTGACCTGTGATACCGAGCAAAGTGTCACTTGAAACAAAATATCACTGATGTTAGTTTGTGAAACTGATTGTAAATGTGTTTTATACATTTAAAGTAATTTGAAATATATTTTACAGTATTATGGTCATCACACACCATACTTATTTTTTGTCCAAATAATTACAGTCACATACTTGTAGGTATGTGTTTGTCAATTATGCCATGATGAGAATGCCCTGATTGTAGCTATGAAAATTTTAAGTGAAATAATTCTTTACCATCTAATGAAGCAGCTTAATACACTTTGTATTAGAGCCTCCTGTCAGAGACTTTCACTAGATGTTTATATGCTTTTTTACTTTAAAAAGAAAAATGTTCCAAGTGGCTACCTGAGCAATTGTATATACATATAGGCTTTGTAAATACTTCTCGGGAGTTGTAATCAGAAAAAAAGAGCACGTTTGATATATGTCAATGTCTTCAGGAAAATTTGGTGGAAGATGTCTCAGTCTCCAAAGTATAGTTCTACTTTTGTACCAAATATTGTGCTGCAGTGGAACTGGGAGATTTTCCGTTTACTTCCTGTTACTGACCAAGGGCGTGAACTCGGGTCGGCCTCTCCCCTCCCTGGGCTCCATCCAGCTCCATCAGCTGTTAGATAAGGAGTTTGTGCTAGACACAGGTGACCTTCCAGGCCATAGCTACAAACCTTTGTGATTTTTTTGGAGCTGGAGAATCCTGTGACATTCCATTGTATGTATACAAATAGTTTCTTTATTTAGAAATAATCTTCTTAGGACAAAGTCATACTTGAATACAAAGGCACCTTTTAAAAATCCAGTCTTATTCAAAGCTTCACTGACTGTGTGGAATTTGGCATCACGAACGCACAGTCGCAGGATCCAGGGGCAGCGGTGGCAGTGAGCCCGGGAGGGAACAGCAGGGCCTGGGACCCCGCTCCAGCATCCACGAACCGAGCGAGCCTGCCAGGTGTCAGCTCTTCATTCGTAAAATGGCGAGGACAAAAATTATAATAGCCACTTCTCAAAGGTTTACAAGAATTAGATTAGAAGAGATAAAATAATGTAAAACCCTTAGCATTGTTTAGGCATACTGCAGACACTCTGAAAAATTAGTTGAAACCCAGTTAGCTCAGAATTTTCTTCTTTAAAATCTAGCACTTTAGTAACTAGAGCCAATGCCTGCACTGGATAATCTCCTATTTATATGTTGAGATGCATCCTCAAACTCGGCCTGGTAGGAGAGAGCCAGCCCCTGTCCAACTTCTTCCCTCGGTGGATTCCAAATGGAATTACGACTACTTCCTTTGCTCTAAAAGAGAATCTGTGGTCATTTCCTTGTCTTCCCTCTGCAGCGCTTCTTAGGGACTTGCTTACCAAATGCTTTCCTCTTTTTGCATTATCTGAGCTCATGGGAAATGAAAAGTACCTTCATTCACAAAGGCCCAGGGACCCCGAGGGGTGGTCGCCTTAGTTGTGCACTGAGGTGCTGATTGACATCCAGAGAAACCATTCCCTATACACTCCACAGAATAAAAAGTACCATAATTAATGAGTTACATGGATAATTTACCCATTGCAAAGCCCACATCAACACTGATTCCCCCAGCCAGCATTCTCATAGTCCATGAACAATGAGTTCTGAAATGTACCCGATATGGACCACATTTAAAAACTGAAACTATTTCCCATTGTCGGGGTCACCGATTCAGTGTTAGGACCCAGTCGCAATTCCTGAGATGGACTGAGAAATAATATATGGGGCATAGTTTTTGCACCGTGTCTTATAATTAATCACCCAGGGTCTCCCTATGGCCTGGAGTTCATTCTTTTCTTTAGAAGACTCTAGTTGGTGTATCAATACAGCATCATTTCTCCAGGGTGTGTAATCTCCAACCAGGAAGAGGAAAATAGAATTTTATCATAATCCAAAATGCCAAATAGAGTTCTATTATGAGCCATTTTAATATCTCTTTATGTCCAACTCTGTGCTCCAAAAGGAATGGACTCATTTTTGAACTCATTTACTTACGGACCTTTCAAATAATATTTCATGTCCCTAAGGTGGGGGCAGGAGAGTGCTGTGTCCACTCAGAAAGTTTCACCAAGGCCCGGGAAGGGGTCAGCCCTGGGTTGGGCCTCTGCTTTCTCACCTGCACACAGGGGAGACTGGGATAGAGAGATGACCTGAACTTCAAAGAGTTATTTTCTTCAAACATAGAGAAAATGTAACAACTAGGGTAAGAAATCCAGAAAAAGAGTAGAATTCGAAGTTGAAGAAGCTTGTGCTTCCTATTTAACGTCAGAACCCAGAGTCCAGGGCCGCCTGAAGGACGGGCAAGCTGCTCTCTCCTCGCCATTGGCCCCGTTCCGTTTTCTCGGTCCTGCTGTAATGAATTTAGGCAACCACTTGGTTCAGTCTGCCCGTCTATATATTAGGAATACAAATACCTGCTTCACAGAATGAAACGATGTGTATGAAATATGTGCTGTATAATCAACAGTGCAAATGCAATGCATTATCTTTATTAATGAACAGTATCATTGTTGTATGAGGTGGGCTAGTCAGCACCAAACTGTATGGAAATCGAGGCCTTTGGAAACAGGCTTGGGTTGGAGTCCCACCTCTGGCTCTTTCTAGAGCCTTTGTTTTTCCTTTTTTTTTTTTTTTTATCCTCACCTGAGGATATTTATTATTGATTTTATAGAGGAAGGATGCGGGGGGAGAGAGAGAGAGAGAGACAGAGAGAGAGAGAGAGAGAGAAATATTGATGCAAGAGAGAAACATCGATCGGTTGCCTCCTCTGCACCCCGGCTGGGGATCTAACCTGCAACCCAGGCATGTGCCTTGACTGGAAATCGAACCTGCAACCTTTTGGTGCGCAGGACAACCCTTCAACCAGCTGAGCCACCTGGCCAGGGCTAGAGCCTTTGGATTGCTGCTTCACTCCTCTGAGCTTCGGGTTTTTTCCCCCCAGGGTTGTTGTGAGAATTAAATCAGATGCTATAGAATGTTGCCATCATCGCAGAGAACTTTGGGATGGTACTGATAAGTGTATGAGACACCCAACATGATGCCTGGCATACAATAAGTGCTTATTAAATGTTTCCTTCCTCTCTTCTGTCAGCTAATACATGATTTCACCAGGTCTAATCTCACATTTCTTTTGGGAGTTATAATTCAGCTGTCCATTTGCAAAAGTTCTTCTACTCTCTCTGTTCTAAAACCAAAGCAACTTTATTCATGGAAAAAAAAATATGATGAGGTTTGTTGAGTCACCTTGTTGTTTTTGTACAGACAACCATGTACTATATAGTTAAGGTAATTACACAGTCAGTTATTAGGTTGATTATTCAATAATTAGGGTTTATTATGAAGACTGATTTATTTTATCTTGATTGGTTCTTCCTATGTTCACTCAAGGGTGACTGAGTGTTGAGAAATAATATTGTATAAATATCGGAAACCTGTGATGCCCTTTCTAGATTAGGTTAAGTCATGGTCTTGCAGGGAATATTCTGGGATTGCTTTTCAAAGACAGAAGTTATGTAGCTTTAAAAAATAACCTATGAGTTGACCGGACTCCCTCTATTTCTAGCCAATGTTACGAGATGTCCCAGAAAGTATAAGCTTAACTTTTAAAATATGTGGTTGAAAAGTTATTTATTTTTTGAAGACGTCTCCGCAACACATCCTAACTCTAAGATTCCAAAAGTGATACTCATTTTATTATTTTTTTCTAGCAATACGCCATTTCACAACTGTTACACCGAGAAACGCAGAACGTCTAGCAGACCCCAGGGAGAAGTATTCTGGATGTCACAATGACAGATCTGCTCGTGGAGGGACAGCTTAGAGAGGTGATCTCCAGAAGAGTATGACTCAGCCTTTCTTTGCCAGATAATCACATTGTTGCCAGTTCTCTGAGGCGGAGCTGAACTGCTGCAGTGAGAGAGCCAATGCGCTTCAGCACCTCGTGCACTGAGCATGAGGAATGGATGCCAGCCTTTATCACTACTATCCCATCGCTGGGTCACAAGTGACGCTGGGCAGCAGCTGGTTCCTTAGATTTTCTCCACGTAATTTATGGACAGCAGATTAAATAAATCAAACACTTTCCTAAGTCCAAATTTAAGGTGTAATAAGAAAATACCCTCAGATACCTTTTTTATTCACAACTACTTTGAGCTCTTCTGCCCTTTTCCTGGCAATTGTCTTCTACACTGATTTCCCCTCGCTCGGTTCCCTGGAAATGCACCCCCCGATCGAGCTCCAGGGTCACCCGGGGCCTCACCTGTTCTTGCAGGCTGCTGATGTTCTCCTCGTGCCGGGAATAATCTTGCTTCCTGCCGGGATCTCTCTGTTGATGCCATTTCAGGATGCGACTTTCCAGCTTCTCGTTGGCCTCCTCCAGGGCGCGCACCTTGTCCAGATAGGAGGCCAGGCGGTCGTTGAGGTTCTGCATCATCACCTTCCCGTTTCCGCCTGGGAGGGAGCTGCCTTTTCCAGACCCCCAAGACCCTCCAGGGGACAGGCAGCCTGGCGAGGCGAAGGAAAGGGAGATGCGGACACCCCCTGCACCCCCGTGGACGCTGGGAGCCCGGGGGAAGCCCCCTGGCCAGCTCCAGCCGCCTCCTGCGCCATGGAGGGAGCCCGAGGGGATGTGGCTGAAGTGGTGGCTGGAGCTCATGGTCCCATCTGCGTGTGGGGCGGGGCTCTGCTCTGCTCCCTGGCACCACAGAACTGAGCCGCCCCAGACTGCCCCGGATGGTTTTATGCCCTTTGCTGTGGGAGTTCCCTTCTCTGACAACTGTACCAACAAGATCGTATCATTGTGCAACATGTGTTTCCTCTTGGTCAATCCCAGAGCGCCCCGGGCCTTCACACACACTGTTGTTGTTTAGAGCCACATTGATATACCAGTTTGTTTCTCCCTTCCACTTGTAACCCGGAGGTGTGGCCCATGACATTAGGTGGGTATTAGTCTCAGGTGTCTTTTTAATCTTCTGTGGAGTTTTTCCATTGCCTGTTTATTTGAAAAGGGCAGGTTAGACTCCACGGAAGGGTTCTTTGGTATAGGATAGATTTTCCTTGAAAAAGTAGACATTACACACACAGACATATGTTCTCCTCCCCTCCAAATAAATCCCTGCTCTAAAGGAAGGGTGGGAGAGACTCCCAGCGAAGAGGCAGATCGGAACAGAATCTCAGGCCCCAGAGTAAAGGCACTCGTGCCGAGGAAACGGAGGACGCTCTGAGCATCTGATGCCTTTGTGGCAGTCACTGTTGGATGGAAAGTAATTTCAAAGGAATCATTCTTAAGAGCAAACCCGCAATTATAATTAATTAATAAATGACCGAGCCTTCCACTTTCCAGGTGCCTTTCATCCCCAGCACACCTCAAAACCACACAGCCCTCATCTGCACTCAGGACTTCCCTTGGCTGCGGGGAGGGGTGCGCCCTTGTCCCCAGCCAGCAGCCCTGTCCTGGTGAGCCCAGAAAGCCTGGGTTCTGCGTGCCTGTGACCGGTAGAGAGGATGGAGGGAAACAGGAAATGAGCCATGGGTTGTCTAACATACTTGATGAATCTCACGCTTTGCCTGCCAAGGTAAAGGTTAGGAATGAACAAAGAAATAGTCTGGGGGCAGGGAGCCACGTGCTGGTTATTGGCAACTAGATTTAAAGGGGATTTGGAAATGAAGTGGCAGCAACGGAAGGGATTTCCATTCCTTGGTTCAAGGCAGTAGTGTTACGGAGGAGGAAAACTGAGGCTTACGGGGGGCGGGGGCGGTATGGCAGAGGGCAGATTGTGGGTTAGTAGCAAAGCCAGGGCAGGATTCTTTCTGCCTCACGGTGCTCAAGCATTGAGTTGAATCTTAACAGAATCCTGTACAACATTTCTCTTTGATAAGGGTGATAATGGAACTTCCCAGTTTACATAGCCCTTTGATATATTCTTAACTCAATTCCTACAACTCCTGATGTAGCCAGGCAGGGTTATTGTCCCCATTTTACAGATAAGGAAGCAGGTGGATGAGTCAGAGCTGATTCGCACGTGCGCTATAATTCAATATGTGAATTTGCAGGTCTGCCAGCCTTAGCCTGTGCTGTTTCCCCTGCTTGGAAAATTACTGCCTGCCCTACGCAGGCCTGCTCTTCTGCCTTCGAGATATACTTCAAAGGTGACTTCCTTCCACAATGATTTCCTGAATTTTCCTGCATGAGTTGGGTGTTTCTTCTGCGAGGAAACCCCCGCTTCCGGGTCCCAAGGCCCCCCAGAGGGGCAGGTTGCGTGGTATCCCTACTCCACCAAGGCGGCCGGGGGCTCCCCCCTGGACCCTGCCACCCCTGGATATGCGTCCATTCCTGCTCTTTCACTCAACACATTAGAAACATTTCTAGGAGTTTATTTGAGTCAAGCTGACAACACATGCTGGGGAGCAAGATCCCAAATGCCCCTCACTGACCACACGGTACTGCATTTGTTACACTCCTTTGGGACAGCAGACTTCTTGAGAACGTGGATTATGTCTTCCTTCTTTCAAGAACCGAGCTCTGGCTGCTTATACGTATTTCCTACATCTGTGGTAGCTCAGGAACGAACTTTTCAGAGTCATGACTTCAACTCAGGTTCTCTGGCACCATCACCGGCTGCCCTTTTTAGGAGTGTGAGCTATAAAACCAGAGAGTAGAAAAGGCTCTCCCAGGGGCGAACTAGCCAGCCACCAAGGCAAAATCATTCGTGGTTGCCAATACTGCCTCTAAAGCACACCCAGCTCTGCTTGTCGGCCCTGGCAGCCAAACCTTGAACAAGTCCCCTGGACTTTCCTCATCTCCCCATGTGCAAGATGGAACAATCTTGCCAAGGCTTAAGGAAGCCTTGGGGGTGCTTAGCGGTAGTGCCCCTTTGACGGGTTCCACAGTCACTGACATCTGAGAACAGGAAAAAGAAGGGAGAAAGACAAAAAGAGCAAATGAGAGAAACAGGCTTATTTAGACACGGGGTGGCAAGCAGGGTTCTGATGGACGTAGACGGTTCCTGACTCCGGGCAGGATCGGTTTGTGCTCACATGGACCCCGGCTCACAAATGGGAACATCCGTCTGCAGGATGCGCCAGGGCCAGGCCGCACTCAGTTTCCCATTTGGCTCCTCTTCCTGCTAAAGTGGGATGTTGCCAGTAAAAGGGGATGGATATTTTGCGGGAGAGGTTGGGTAGTGATTGAATGAATGGGGTTGCGTGTGGGTGTATCAGGGATCAGAAGGGAGCCCTGTCAACAGCTGGCTGTCATTAACTGGGAGCACCGGGTGTCTGTGCCCTTTAAAGACCATCGTCCCATCACCGAAGTGTTCCATAGGCGCCCTCTTCTTTACAGTGAGAGAAGAACGGCCAAAACAATCTCCAAATAGATTTTTATTATGCATGACATTTTAGAGCAGATGAGTAGGAGATTGTCAGGCAAAATTGCTATGTCATTATCCTATGATTTGGAGGGTTACATAAAAAGATTAGACATTTATAGAAATAAAACACAGCTTCTGCAGTGACACTGGGTCAGATACTTTATAAGGGCCTTAGTTTATCAAACTGTAGCCAAAGAAAAAGAAAATTTTCCCATACTTTGATTTGTCCAGGAAAAAGAGGCCCATAGACAGAAGGTTCAAGTTAAGTATTCAGTATAGTGTTTCAGACTAGATGAGGAAGGCAAGTCAACTTAAAGTGGCTTCTCGATAGTAGTATTTGTATTTATTGATTGACATTCAAGGAAAAATCATGACAAAAACACACAAGCAAAAAGACTCTTAAGATCACTGTAGGAAGTTGTCTCAAAGGGTAGGTAATGAGGCAACTGTGCTGGGAACCCTTCTTACTTTGATTTTTAAAATTTTTAAATTAAATTTATTGGGGTAACATTGGTTAACAAGATTTTTTATAGGTTTCCAGTGTGTAATTCCATAACACATCATCTAGATATTGCATTGTGTGTTCACCACCCAAAGTTGAGTCTCCTTCCATCCCTATGTATTTGACTATCTTTACTCTCTTCTATCTCCTCCCCACCCCCTCCCTCTGATAAGTACCATATTGTCGTATGTGTCTGAGTTTTTGTTTTTTCTTGTTTCTTCAGTTGTTGCTTTCTGTTTTATATCCCACATATGGGTAAAATCATATGTTTATGGATGATTGGACAAAGAACAATGGGATACTACTCAGCCATAAGAAAAGATGAAATACTGCCATTCGTGACATGGATGGATCTTGACAATAGCATGCTAAGTGAAATACAGACAGAAAAAGTATTTAATCTGATTTTTAAAGTTGGGAAAGAATTAGATAAGTGTGCAGAGGTATGCAGAGCCTTGTAAGTCACCACAAATGAATAGCATTCGGTGTCTTAAGGGAAGAGTTAGGGAATTTGAAGAAGAGACTACATGAGAATAAAGAAAGAGAAAGTAGATTTCAATTCTATATTGACAGAAACCCAAGTCAGTAAGTGTTTAGGAAGGTCCTAATCCACAACAGCATGTTCCTAGCAATTTGGAAGACATACAAAAAATGAAAGACATATTTGCCTCACATACTACACATCAAGCAATATTATCCTAGCACCTGATTCTAAGGAAGATTGAAGGCCCAGGCTAAGGCCAGCTTTTCTTTCATTTCTCAATACTCTGAGCTTACAGAGCACTGTGGCAGGCCCTCCATTAATGTTGACTAACTTTGGTCTAGGGAAGACTATGAAGCAGTAGTGGATTGTGTGAAAAATACTACGTGAGATAGAAATGAGATGAAAAAGACGATTGTGGACAAGTGCAGTTAAAAATGATAAGCTCCCCGGTGGAACGGATTCAACCACTCTCATGGTTGGGAAGGAGCAAGAGGTCCCAGGTAATGGAGTTAGAAAGAGCGGCTGGAAAGGAAAGACAAATCCTGTGGAATTCCCCAAATTCTGGATTTTGCTGATTGAATCCCCATGGTATTTGTAGCACATTCCTCTGACCCCTGTATTTCTTGTAAGCGAGACCTAAGGGCTTCATTAGTCTCAGGTTTACCAGTTTTGGCAAGAGTGCTAGGAGGGAGTGCTGTGTGCTGTGTTTCCTGATGTTCACGCAGTGACAAAATGTCTCACATTCAGCCTGCTCGACCTTCGATGCTTGAGCTCTCGTGGCCCCTGCAACGGCTGGGAAAGTCTCCCAACAGAAAAAACAAGACAGGGCTGAGGTGTTTAACTGGGAATTCAGTGGATGGAGTCCAGGATGTTAGTCAAGTCTTTAAAACTGTATGTAAAATTTTCTCTGCGTGTTTAAATGTTCACTCTTTTGAGGAGAGATTACAGCTTTCATCGACTTTTCAAAGGAGAATATAAACTGAAAAAAGGATCTAATGATGTAAAACTTTAAAGCCTCCTTTTTTTCTGTTGGCCTTTAGTTACCAACAGAATGTTTAGGATTTTCCTATTTCATAGGAACATAATATTAGACTTGGAAATGAGTCACGCTTATCTTCTGTCTCATACCCGTAATTTTACAGACAGACTCACGGCCAGCGACGGCAGAGCTAGGCCTGGCAGCAGGACCTCATTATATTGTTGCAGGGCTCCTTGTTCTCGCGATCATCATTTTTAAAGCGATAGAGGTGGTGCTTGGGGTTCACTAATGTTTTTGCAGTTGTGGGATGCTGATCCATGCA